CTTCCACCAACGCAGAGAAAATTTCAAGGGGGCCACCAGACTCTAAGTAAGCTGTGAGTGTAGTTACACCCAAAGAAACAGACGATGTCAGAATATAGAATTTACTGAGTATCATCCCTACCTCTTTGGGGAACCATTAACACTTAAGAGTTACAGAGAAAACTTTTGGCCAAATCTTGAAGTCAGAAACCCCCCCCCCCCCACCAAGAGAGGTTTGCAACCAACGCAACATGTTTTGACTTCTCTGTTTTGTCATTTAAAAAAAACAAACGCGCACCTTAAATTGCACCATGAATTTGTAAGTCACACTGCAGTCACACAACTCTAGATCCTTCCAACGTACATGCATATAAAAAAAAATGGTGCTTTGGACACAAACAACTTGAAGGACTATAGCCAGAAGTAAAACTGGGTAGGTAAACAAACCGGGTGAAATTCACCAAGCCTGAGTGTTGCAGCTACCTATTTAATTGTGATGTGTCTGCACCTCTGTAAATGCTTACCGTTCCTAATAAAACAGCAGCCCTTACGTGCTGCTATTTCATCTGCCCTTTTTAAAACTAATTCCTTCTGAGTAAACATGACGCTTTCTTGGACATTACAATATTATCGGTTCCTGTTTTCAGGAGGCTCAAGAGAGGCTTTATTTATTTTATTTTGGATGATTAATATTCTAAGCTGCCCTGCTAACCAACGACTAGACTGCAGCAACAGGAGCCTGTTTGAATGCTCACACACAGACACACAATCGGCAGCCAAGCCTCTCCAGAGTGAATATTTTCAACAGGCTACTGCAGGATCTCTGATTCCCCTGCCTGCAAGTGATTATTTCCAGGATAGAAAGCAGAACCATGAAACGAAGGAACGGGCGAAACCCAGAAGGGCTATAAAGGCCTAGAGAAAATTGAAAAAAGAACTTCCTTCTGTAAAAGCATCTCTCAGAAAAATCTTCCTGCCTTTACCATCCTCCTCTTAATAAATACATCTGTGGGATGGAGAGCACAAGTTGCTTTGAAATGGGTGGACTCATATTTTGGTTGACAGTTAAGATTATACTGGTGGTTTTTTTAAAAAATGTTCTGCTTACTGTGGACAGCATTCTTTGCAGAAGGTAGAAAACTCTGCATGGGCACAGAAACGCCACCCAACACATATATTCTTAATCAAATGAGGTTTTCTTCCTATTTATTAAGCGTGGGAAGCTGGCTATCAAATTTCTAATTATAAAAGAAATGTGAATATCTACATAGTAAAGAGACACATTCAGCAGACATTTCTGCAAGGGAAATGATCTTGAACAACATGTTGGTGATGTTTATTTGCATCAAATTAAGATTGGATTTTAAGCCAGTTATCTGTGTCTGTCTGTCTGTCTGTCTGTCTGTCTGTCTATCTATCTCTATCTCTATATGGTCTCCTTTTATTTCATTTTCTTACCAGGAGAACAAATTAAAATGTTAAAATGAAATTTTGGTTTCCTGTAAGTACATCGTCAAATGGACATGATTAAAATTTTGACTTGCAAGCACAAGGGGAAAAAAATCTTGCAATTCTGATATATTGCACTGAAATTCAGGCTCAGATTTTCATTTAAAATTTCAACCCTAACCAACTTAGGCCTTCTTCAATGACAAAAGAAGCTGAAATGGCTTCTAGATTCAACTTTTTCAGCTGTCAAGAGTCATGTCTGAATGTTGCATATGCCCATTTTTGAGCACGTCAACCTAGAATGGTCCTAGTTTGATCCAGGGATGTGGACCTCGCCAGAAAAATCTATGGCTAAAGGAAAATGTTTTCTCCCATGTTGAAATGGTCCAGCTCAAATTCTGGTGAAGATTAAAGAAGGTTTCTGAAAATCCCTTCTGTAAAGTGGCTATAGAATATTTCATTTGTGCAAAGTCAGTCCTTGTGGCTTGTTTAGACTTTGGCCTCAAGTTGGGCTAATGGAGGGAAGTCCAGTTACAGGTTTCCTCCTTAGGCTGAAAGATGGCTGGGTCAGGAAATACAGAATTTAAAAGCCTAACTCTGCGGTCTGGCTTCCTTCTCACCTGAAGGGACAGTGGTCCTATCACAGTGACCATCTTTGAGTAGCCGGTCTCGGATCTCCCAGCTAAACATGCCAGGATTCTCCCGCTTATATTCTTCAATCTTTTTCTCCACGTCTGGAGTGGCAACCTGCTTTTGGGGTCAAGAGGGGTTCAGGAAGGAAGGAAGGAAGGAAGGAAGGAAGGAAGGAAGGGAGACAAAATGCACTTTTAAATTCAAGTTCTACAAACTACCAGTGGAGTGCAAAGCTGGTCTGATCTGGGGAAGTCCATTCCATGCTCAACCTAGAAGGCCAACTTCTCAAGAAGATTGGATCAGTCACCCTTCCCTCTATTTCTTAAGAAAGGGTAGAAGGCCAAGATGCTTTTCCTCTTCAAGGGAGAGACCAGATCGTGTTTTTTTTTTTGGGGGGGGGTGTCTACTCAAGAGTAAATTTGAGGAAAGCAGCTAAAGGTAGCAAGGTATGGGATGGAGGGAGGAAGCGGTTCCATCATCTAAGCCCAGGGGCCATCACCAACTTCTTGACATCCCCTTACCTTTCCCTGCCAATCAATGTCAACCCAGAGGGCATCTCCTCACCTGCCCTCCTGGTGGGCTTCTGAGCCCCTCCCTCACTCACCCTGGGCTTGCTGCCCCCGATGGCTCCCGGCCGGATGGATCCCGTTTCTTGGTACCGGCAGAGGATCTTGGAGACGCAGCCGTGGGAGACCCGCAGCTGGCGAGAGATCACACAGGGCCTGATGCCATGGTGCGCCATCTCCACAATCTTGTGACGGATGTGATTGGGCAGGGGACGCCCGTTGATGAAGACGCCTCCAAGCTGGTTGACTCGGCCTTGGCCCAGGGGGGTTGAGACTGCGGGGGGAAAGGGAAGGGCAGGAGGAAGAGGGGTCAAGGTTTGCAAGCCCCGGTCAACAAGGGTTGTCCCTTCTTAAGCCATAGTCTACAGCGTCAACCATCCATCCAGTTGAGAATCACTGGAAGTCTGAAGGAGAGGTTGCTTCTCCAACTGCTCCACAGGAGAGGGTTCTGCAGCTCCGCTTGTGGCCTGAGAATTGGGGAGGGGTGCGGTCAAGACCCTGGAGACCCCCTCCTCAGGGAAGTCTCCTTCTGAGGACCACAACAGCCTCTTGGCTGATGGCAGCTAGCCCTGTTGCGAAGCCGGTGGAGATCGAAGCAAGACCCCTCTCCTCTTTCCAACGTTTGCTTCCCCCTGCGCATTTTTAGGGGGTCGGCTCTTCCTGGTGGAAAGCTGAAGGGGGTCTCCTCTCCCACCTTCTCTGTTTCTCCTGGAGGGATTGTCCAGAAAGAAAAAGGGACTGCGCCCTCACCAGAGAGAGGAGGGCGGCTTAAATGTCCAGAACGCCAAGGTTCGTCAACAACAAGACAACACAATTTCTACCAGTGCATTTCCCATCCACCTGGTCTCTGCCTGCACCACGCATTCTTGCATTCTTCCTAGCGTACTTTGCATTATCTTTTGGGGAGGGCAGAACGGAAGCCCCCAGCAGCCAGCCCCGGTTTTACCAGGAGGATGCAGACCCCCCTCCTCTCCCTTCCTCTCTCGGTGCAGTAACTTAGGGGGAAAAAAACCACCCCAGAATCCTGCACTATTTGCAGGAAGGGGATTAGAGACAATTGGGGGGCTGTGCAGTTGCAGCCATTAAAAGCCCCCTGATTAATGCCTTGGGTGGGGGATGCCTCCCTGCCACAACTCTCTTAGTCCCCTTCCAGATTCCTGCTTTTAAGAGTTTGGCACTTTGGGTGTGAAGGCTGAGCTCTGGAAATACCAGGAGGAGAAATCTCCTATAAAAAGTGTCCGAGGGACCCACTCATTACAAACGCGCATGGAACTAGCCATCTGGGCCCAATCCACCCTGCAGGTAGTCCAGGCACAGAGAGAGAGGGGGGGGGGAGAGAGACCCAGTTCTTGAATCCACACAACAGGACAAACCCACAGAGGAGCCAAACAAGACGGTCCCCCCCCCCCCCCCGTTTGATTTGCGGTTTGCTAAATTTTGCAAAGCCCAAACACAGATTCCCGGGACTCTCTCGCGCGGATGGCATAATTAAATCGAGAGCGGAAAGGAAAAACATGGCAAATAGATCTCCCTTTCAAAAAAATTAAAAATAAAATAAAATAAAAAATAACCCGTTCTGTTCCGTTTTGCAACCCGCAATGAAACGAAGTTACCCTCTCTTTGAGAAAATTAAAATGCCCACTTCACAACTAAAAAAGGAAATTGTGAAAACTTTCTGCCACAACCAGCTTTTCAGCATTATCGTGGCTATTATCGTGATAACAACAGTAATAATCACAGTAATAACAATAACAATAATAATATTAAAGATCCTTGGGAAGGTCTCAGTAGGTG